TAAAAGTGTCGTAATGAGCTGCAACAAGCTGAAGACATAGACTTTTTTTAAAAGTTCTGAATTTGCATCACTTTTAATTTGTACTTATGTTTGTGTACGTATGTGAACTATATTAAATGGTCTCAGTTAGATTGGGGGGGTTGTTCATTAACGAGGGAAGAGTGGAGCGTGACATTGACAGATGGATCGGTAAAGGTTCTGGAGTAGTGCGTAGTCTGTTCTGGTCCGTTGTGGTGAAGAGGAAGCTGATCTGTAAGGTGAAGCTCTCTGTTTACTGGTTGGTCTACATTCCCACCCTCTCCTTCGACCACGAACTCTAGTGGCTAAAAAAAAAAAAGAGAATGCGGACGCAAGCAGTCAAAATAAAAAAAACTATTCTGCAGGGTAGCTGCTCTCCTAGAGATCGGGTGAGACGTTCAGTTATCTGGGAGAGACTCAGAGTAGATCTGCTGCTCCTCCACATCGAGAGGAGCCAGCTGAGATGGTTCAGGCCTCCGGTAAGGATGGACGCCTACCGAAGGAGGTTTTCAGGGCACGTCCAACTGGGAGGAGACCCAGGGGAAGAATCACGACACGCTGTAGAGACAATGTCTCTCAGCTGGCCTGGGAACACCTCCGAATCCTCCGTGCTCCAGCTGCTGCCAATGTTGTCTCTCGTTTTTTTGTACTTTCTGCATCACGGAAGGTAAACTGAAGAGGGTTGCAGACAGGTTCCAGAATCCAAAACACTGTTTCGCATGAAAAAAAAAAAGGTTCAATTAATTCCTTGAACATGTCTGACATGTTGATGGCACGTACAGCACGTGAAATGCTGGTTGTCACGCAAGGCGACTGAACCCTCAGCAACAAAATGGAGACACTTTGAAAACGACCTCGAGGTCTTGCTGCTTGCAAGGTGAGATTAAACCAGTTCAAAGCAGCATCTTTAACGCATGCACAGTGAGACGACGATCTCATGGTCATTTGGGTGAAACGCTGCAGATGGACCTAAAAGCACTGAAAAAAAAACCAACAGAGTCAGCATTTAGATCATTAAAACCTTCGAATCTTGGACAGCATCTCAGTTTTACAGGTGAAGGACAAGTCAAGTCAAATTTACTTATAAAGCACATTTAAAACAGAAACTGTTGTAGTATGAAGCTACAATGAAATTAACTGCACTCCATCCATCCATTTGCAACCACTTACTATGGAGAAAGGGTCACCCTTCTTCCTCCATCTCACCTTTGTAACTGCTGCATGTCTGGTGCCCTGTGTGTGTGCACAGTGTGCACACACAGATGCTACACTGTTGCCAAAGTTGCAAGGAATAAAGAGGTTCTTATCTGTTTCATGTCTTTGTGTTTTGTCCAGATTTACAAGAGAGCCTGCAGCTGACACTGACAGAAGTCCTGAAACGGCAGTGTCCCAAATCTAAAAAGGGTTACAACCAGGTGAGGGAGGGCTTCAAACTTCGACTACAGCATCCACGTGCAGCTGAAAAAGAAAAGCTAATCATCAGAACTGTTCTCCTGTTTGCAGCAAATCTTGATATCAGAGGTGAAGGTGGACAAGGTGCAGGTGAAAGCTCAAGAAGCAGGGTCAACATTTGCTGTTTGTCTGGATCAGGACCAAAAGACCTTCATCCAAGGCGTCACGAGGTAACCACACTGACACATTCAATGAGGGCGCTTCGAAACAGGAAAATACATCAGAGCACGCGGCGCCGTCAGAGGCGGCGTGGGAGCAGCGTGTTGCGTTACTCTTTCACCTTTTCCCTCGTTCAGGTGCGAGGCGACTCTGTGCAGCAAACCAGGAAGCGGCTCAGACTGGAGGTCCTACAAACCTCTGCCGGGCCAAGTCCGGCCTCTGCACCCGACGTACCGCTCCCTGCTCTGCCTCCCCATCACCTGCTTCTCCGCCTCGTACCCATGATGCACCGGGGCGTGCACCGACTCTGCAGGCAGGACGCACGGAAGAAGAAAGTTAGGCCATAAACGAGTCCAATTCTGATTATTTGAGGTATGCTGTAAATAAAAGCATGGGGGGGGGGGGGGTGTTAAATATTAATAATGATCAGAACATTAAAGAGTTATTTCATGTTTTTCTGTTCGAGCTCTTCCAACATCTCAGCTGAGCTTTTCCAAACAAGGCATCACTAATCTGTTAATACTAGAAAACAGACTTCTTGAGAATATTTGTACATTTTTTAATCCACTGCATGATCAAAACATGTTAATGTATATTTATTTCGATATGAAGTTAATGAAATTAAACGTTTCCTTTTCGTTTGTCTAAAATTCCAAATAAACTTGTACATCAGATGTGCCTTTTAGTTTTACTTTGGCCTTTAAGCCACACATGGGCAACGAAAAGAAAGATTTATAATGAGCACGGCTTGGCCTGCAAATAATCCAGAGCTGCAAATCTCTGCAGAGCTGATCTGAGAACAGCAACAAGAGACGGTTGGAGGCAGACGGATGAAGAATGTTTGCATCAGTCACATTCAAGCTGGTAGAAAAGATGAAGGTGGAGCAACAAAGTACTGATGGAGCAGAGGCTTTCATAGATGTTTTTTTTTTTTTTACTTGATCTGAAAAGAGCATTAATAACTAACTGCAACAATTATATCTTTATTTTTATTGTCGGTTTTTAAAACCAGAAGGTTGGAATTAAAAAAGTGGGTTTGTGGCATGTCTTTGATTTATTTTCACAAAAACAACAAGATTCCAGTTTTATCCAGGAGTTGTATATGTTGTTGAACTTCTATTGTGTTGCTTTTTTTGTGCACAGACTTGTCTTCTCTTTCTCATCCATCGAGGTCGTGTCTCGAGAAACGGTCTAATATTTAAATCAGACGCTTCCTGTTCCTGTCTGCTCAAAGCTGCTGATAAACACTTTTACTTTCACAAATT